GAGTCTGTCCAAATGCATATATGCATATATGCGCGAAACGCGTGGTCGTGGACGGTCGGCACCACATGATTGGTCGTCTAAGCTCCATAGTTGCAAAGGAGTTGCTTAACGGACAGAAAGTGGTGGTCAATGCGAGGAGATCTGTCTCTATGGAGGTTTGGTTAGGCAAAAGATTAAGTATATGAGGTTTCTTAGGAAACGCATGAACAATAAGCCTTCTCATGGTCCTATTCATTTCCGTGCTCCTTCCAAAATCTTTTGGCGCACTGTTCGTGGGTTCGTACCATTTAATCATGAGTAATAGTTTTGTTTTAAATTTATTTTAAGAATTCAAATGCATTTTTTTCTTTTGTGGATTCTGTGTTTATAAGACAATTGTGCAATTCTGTTTAATGTTTGCTTGTGTGAGTAAGAGAAATGTAGCATTCGTACAAAGAAAACATTTTGCCTTTTATATATTTTGAGAATGCAAATCTGTTTTCTGTGTGGTTACGTTAGTGTTACCCGAATCATCTAGTCTTATGTAGTCTCTGTGTTCCTAAGAGAATTGGCAAATCCAATTGTTCAATAGTGTTACATGTTTGCTTGTGTGAGTAACAGAAATCTACTCTTATGTACGTGTTTGTGAAATTGAGATTGTGTTTGTGGTCAAAGGATGATTCCACACAAGACTAAATGATGGAGAGGCGGAAGCTAGATAACGAAGACAAACGAAAGACCTAAGGAATTCGTGTGTAATCGGGTTTGATTTAAACGAAGAAGATCTAGGTTTAAATCGATAGAGGTTGGGAATACTCTTCCCCGTGCTATAAAAGCTCGATAGAGGTTGAGAATACTCTTCCCCATGCTATGAAAGCTCGTTTAGCTATGAAAGCTTAAAGTTTATTCAATATCAAAGTTATCTTCGGTAATTAGTTACAACAACCTTAAATAAGAAGCTAGCATCGAAAACCCTAATCTAACAAATAAACAAAATTAACGTATACTTTAAAAGCCTAAATGAAATAGAAGCTCAATCATGAAAAAATCCTATTAAGGCGTGATCAACGTAAGGATGCCTTACATCACTAAACGTGGTGTTGCTGTGCTTGCTGGTTTGAAGGTTTACGAGGGAGTCCTGTTTGTGTTTATGATTTAGTGATGGTTAATGTTCAATTCTGTTAACGATCTGGTAATTAGGGTTTTGAGACTTCAGAGTGGCCACAAGTATTGCTTATTGGGTTGTATATCGTGTGATGTTGGTTGGAACCATTATGATACAATTAAGGCGAGTCCATCATCAATGTTTTAACACATTATGTAGTGGGACCAAAATCTGTTTACTTGCCCTCCTATTTCATAGAATTAGATCACTGAAACTGATCTTGGAGTTTTTGATTCAAACAGGAGCTTGAGGTAAAGAGAAAGGAAAGGTCGCAAGTGATGTATGAGCGCAAGAAGCAACTTAACAAACTCAGGACCAAGGCAGAAAAAGTCACCGAAGAGAAGCTCGGATCACAGCTCAATGGTCTTGCCCCGGTTATGTATTGATTGATGAAAACCGATGTCTACCCCTCCGAGTATTAACCCATTTATTGGAAAAGCTAGTCTTGATTTTTGATTCTACCACTGAAACTTGGTTTTGTTAATGTCAAAGACATAAACATCATAAACAACCTTGGTTACTCGACTGTCACAAACTTCTACATTATATTCACAAAGTTACACCAAATTTACATAGCCCAAATCAGAGTCTAACAAGAAAAGGCAAAGACTTTATAACAAGAAACTTATTAAGATGGTGATGACGATGAATCATGCTCTTTCACTATATCTTCCATTTG